CTCTCCAATATCTCCTCATATCTTATCCTCTCCCTCTCTCTGTTATTATAATTTATTTGCTATTATTATTACTGTCGTTGTCACCATCACGATGATTACACGGAAAAAAAGAATTTGCTGCAGCAGCAAACTAATTTGCTACATATGGACAGTTAAATATAATTCGTTGTGTTAGCTACTTTTTCTTTGCTGTAGGAACCCATTTCCTTGCTATGATAACATAAAAATTTGCTCCCACAATAAGAAAAGTAGCTAACGCAACAAATTTGCTGTAGATAAACAAATAAACATAATTTATTGCTCTAGCTACTTTTTTTGTTGGAGATTTTTTTGTTATCCTAGCAAGGAAATTGGCTCCTGCAGCAAAGAAAAGTGGCAAATTATGTTTAGTTGTCCATATGTAACAAATCTTCTCCATATGTAACCAAATTTTTTCTATTGTGGCAACGAAACTACTTCTGCTCTGATAACGAACAATTTGTAAAATTAGTTACGTCAATTAAAATTTTTTGATGTCTCTACGAATATGCAGTAGTAATGACGATTTTGCTAAAAGAGCAAAATTATTTTTCTTACTGATACTATATCTTAGAAAGAATCATTGTATGAGAACTGCTTCAGCTGAATAAAACTCTATCGAGTTCCTGTTCTGTTCCTACGCAGTATTTTCACAATCAATCAAAATAGTAATACAATAACTGAACGATAACTGGCCACGTGTCTAATTTCTACCAGAGGGGCTACGTTATAATTATTATGTATATAATTTTATGTATATATTGTATATAATAACATCACTAACACTGACAATAAGCATTAATTTATGTATATACTATATATGTATATAATAACATCAATAACATTGACAATAAGCATTATTATTCTCGTCCCCAATAAGCATTATTATCACCTCATCATACTTTACACATATTATTATTTTTATCATTATTATTACCGCGCACTTCTATAAATTGGAGCTGTCACTCATGGAAGACAATCTGGCGATCGTTCACCAGCGATTCCGGTCGGATTTAATATTTCTCTCTTGGGCGCCGGTGACGCTGAATACTAGAAAATTAAACACTCGAAAATAGGAAAAAGCGGAAAGAAACGAGCAAAAAAAAAGAAAGCCAAAGTATAATCTCGCGTAGGAGAAAGCGGTCAAAAGAAATTTCCACCGTGTCCCCCATTCGGACACCGGACGGAATACGAGGGTGGTCTGAAAAGTTTCCGACCTCAACGTGAAGATAGCAGCACTTGTAAATAAAAGCTAGTGAATTTCGTTGTTCATCTGTTGACAGTTACTCACCGAAGTTTCAGCCATTTTGGACTCGCAGTTGTTATGTAACAGTCGTTTGAGTAAGTTGATGTGAGTGTTTTTGTGAAAATGGACAAAATCGAGTATCGAGCTGTCATTAAATATTTGTTTTTGAAAGGCAATACGCCTACGCAAATCAAAGATGAGTTGGATTCTGTGTATGGGGACTCTGCACCATCATTTACGACAGTGAAATTTTGGGCCG